TCACATGTAGTACACGTAATGAAATTGGAAAAGGGGGGTGGCGAGAAGGGTTGATGAAGGTGGTTGGTAGGTTAGTCGGCAAGCATATGCTTGTTAAAATTGTATATATTGAAGACAAGATGTAGAAGAAGACAACGATGCTGCTGCTTCTGTTGGAGAAGATGAACAAATTGTAATTTTACACCCGTTTATTAAAAACAATTAAATTCCATTATCAATGTTCTATGACAGCGACAGCAGAAGCTGGCAGACAGACAAACATCATTGCCAAACGCACACAGCAGGTTATTTGTATTACCTTTCCTGAATATCTGACTATCTGTCTATTTGTCTGTCTTCTGTTCCATGTCAATGTCTGTGTCTTTTCTTTTCATTGAATGTCATCAGCATATCACCAGCATCATGGTTTCCGTTGTTGTCATCCTGCTGGTAGTCCTTTCAATTAGATGTGCATGTATTGTCTTTTATCTGCTTGCTCAGATTTTATGTCGAAGCTGAGTGTGAATGCGTAAGGATTATTTAATTTTTCGTAATAAAAAGCTTTTGGATGATGGTGGCCAAGACAATAGGCAAATTTGATCAAATTACCATAATATTTGTGTGTATTATGGATTTAATGTTGCGACATTAGGCCTTGTAATTGCAAAGCGAAATTGAAGAAGATCGGAAAAGTGTTTGCCGGTTTTGGAATGAATGGAAATGTACTTCGAAATGCCTTTGGGGCTAATTTCTGGAGATATTTGAATTGGTTGAATTTTCAAAAAAGAGAATTTTGGAAAGACAGAGAGTTCAAAAAATTATTAAGTCAATATTGATTATGAAGCCTAACATTGGGCGCCATCTGTGATTAACTTTTAAAGTCTTATTGAGACAATTTTAAATATTCAGATAAAATGTAAATGCTATTATAACTTTCACGCAATTCTTTACATTTATTTCCACTGGAAATAGTGTTTGTTCCAAACTTTCAAAGTTATGCTACAGCAGTTTCCGAGCTAATGAAAACAAGCTAATACTGTAAATGCTGATTGATGATGTGAAAATTACGGACCACTAGGATTACAATTGAAAACCGCCAGACCCTGTATATGTTGAAAGCTCTAACATTCAATGCAATGAGCTTATGGAGTTTTACGTTGGGCGCCATTAAAAACATAACTCTTGCTAGACAATACTAAAAAAAAACATCAAAATGTCGCCACAAGACAAAATACTACTATTGGGCGCCACCTAGATCTTATCATTTATATTGGAATTTGAAAAACACCAAAACATTTTATGGATTTTTTATCAACAACAACAATAAAGGTCTGCAAGTTTTTTATGAGAAAATCTAAAGGTTTTCTTAAGAGGACATACCATGGGTGAATCTTCAACTTGTTTGTGAGAAAATCTATGAGAATATCTATATTTTCAATACTACAAACCTTGAGACTTTGTACAACAAAATTCTGAAATCTTCAACGTTTCTATCTATGAAAAACTTGCAGCCATATGAGAAAGTCTACTGACTTTTAGTGAGAATAACATTTGCAGATTTTCTATGAAATAATCGAAAGTTTTTCGATGTTATTTGTAATCAAAAATAATAATATACAGAGTGAGATAAAAAAAAAACTGCATCCAACCAACTTCAGACCGCTGTTATTTAAAAAAAACACTCGTCCGACATCTGTTAAAATTATTCCAGTGACAGCTCAATATATTGTTTACATTTTGGTGAGAATTTTCCAGAAAAAAAGTTATTCGTTATGTTGAATTCCAACACGTGATAGGGTGATTTCTTTATATTTTTGCTAGAAAACCACAAGTGACTATCGTTAGAGCACTCCAGCATTTAAATGAAAATAAATTTTTTTGTGTCTCGCACCATCGCTCGTTACCGTGATACTGGTAGCGTAGCCCGATGTCAAGGAAGTTCGAAAAGTTAAGAAGCGACTTGATCGAAACACCCGTCGCAGTGGCCGAAAATGGCTCATGAGCTGAACAAATCGCAATATTCCATTCGACAAATATTGAAAAAATGAGCTCGGGGTTAACCCATTGAAATTCCAAAAAGTGCAAGACCTTACACCGCAACAGAAAGAAAATAGATGAAAAATGCTAAACAGTTGCTTTGCTTGGCAGGAAGTGGTGAACTGCCGAATTTGGTTTTATCCGTCTCCGATGAGAAAACATTCGTTGTCCAGCAATTTGCAAACAAACAAAATGAATGATGATCGTGTTTACTTGTCAAAGAGGTAACTTGAAAATGTGCACCTTCGGTTGGCCACCAGAACTCAAGCGCTGGCCATGGCGATGGTGTGGGCCGCCCTAGGCTGTTATGGCGGCCTCCGCTCGTATTAATCGATTTATTCTGATGCCACAGAATAAATTCCGAATATTATCGCGAAAATATTCTGGAGGGTGAATTAAAGCCATGGGCAGGCGAACATTTGCCGCGGACTTTGAACATTCCAACAGGACTCAGCACTATCGCACTCAGCACGCGCCACCTAAGAAAGGTTACAAATTGAGATTCCTCGCTTCATTTCTAGCGTAAAATGGCCACCAAAATTTTCGGATACCAAGCCCTTGGACTATTCTCTCTGGAGTTTTTGGAAATCAAGGTTGTCACTAAAAAATACCGAAGTGTCGATCACCTCAAGCAAGCGCTTCGCCGGGAATGGGCCAAATTACCGCAGAGCAACATTCGGACAGCGTGTGACGGTTTTATTGGCCGTTTGAAGGCCATAATTCGTGTCAAAAGCGATCTTTCGAACAAATCTAAACTTATTCTAAATTTTATGCTATGTTCGACTTTTTTTCGTTCATTTAATAAAATTTAAAAAAAAATCTAAAAATTGTGGCACTTGACTTTGTTGCTGTTTTTTTATCTCACCCTGTAATAACATTTTTTTTTTCCTATAGTTAAAGTAAAAAAGTAATCTTTTAAATGGACTTAAGGTTAAATAAGGACAATAGGGTTTGATATAATAGCATTTAACATTTGAAACATAACAGACATTCACAACATTTTGAGCCCCTTTCCCACTAATTCGGCAGACGGGATTCATTATGGACAATCCAGTCGTTGGCTTCAGCAAAGCCGAGGGAATGAAGTGCCACTTGACAGTGATACAACACACTAATTAAACTGAGTTCTTAAAACTATACGTTAATGAGTGCCCCTAGTTGGGCGCCATTGAACATAATTGCCTCGAAAAGGCTGTAATAGCCCCAGATCTAAGCGGTCTTAATTTTCACTATCTATAAAATATAATTATTTGAAGCTCTTTATGATATGCGATTTTGGATTGTCCTTCGTTGGGCGCCATTAAACATCATTGCAATTACATGTCTGTTAATGCTCATTTAGATCACATATAACTTGTAGCTCTCTTCATTTTTCATATTTTGAAAATAAATATCGGTGGTAACGAATAGAATAGAAGGTGAGTTTTGTTACGACAGCAAAGTTGATTTTTCAATCATATCACATTTGTTAAGTTTAAGTGGCGCCCAACGTGGGAGTAAAAATGTAAATTTCTTAACTGAGTTGTACAAGCCATATTTATTTATTGCAAGCAGATGTAATAAAGGTTTAAGATTTAAAAATTAGCAATGTATGAGCTATGGACTACCCTGGCGCCCAACGGGGTACCCAAAAAATACAACAAGGCTGAATCGTTACTGTAATTATTATTTATTCTGCAATTTTTTCGTTTTAAGACCATTTTACGCTCATAAAATACCTTTGGTACTGCTTCTCTTTACGTGTGATCTATATTAGCCCATGTTAGAATCCCTTAAAAAATAGCCAATAGCGTTTTCTATTAGGAATTAGAAAAAAAGGAAAAATATTTTCAATTTATTTTTCCAATTCCGCAAAATATAAGTTGAAAGTGTAAGTGGCGCCCAACATGGGGTAACAAGTGTGGTTTTTGTCAATATCGATGCTCATCAGAATCAAAATATATATTATTTTTATTGTGATCTGGTTGAAATATACAAATTATCGACTAACGAGAATTGTTGTCTAAATTGGCGCCCTACGTGACACCGACAGTAGACTAATGTAAATGTACGTTTTATAATAATATTTTTTTAATATTTTAATATTTTTTTTCTCCTAATCGACTTAAGTGTTTTAATATGTTAAATAAAGGGAGTCTCTTCCGGCATCCGATTCACATAATAATCATAACTTGTGCTATAATTAAAATCTTTTTTTCTGGAAGGACATCGTCTTGAGGAAAATTTACGTCCCTGAAATTGTCTTAGTGCCGATGACGCCTTTTGCGGAGCTTTGTTTTTCAAATTTTTCAGTTAAAAGTGAACGTTTGTGAGAAGACTTCGACTGATTGTTGTCGATCAGCCATTTGACCAGCGTTTATGAAATGCTAGTTACATTGTAAAAGTGGCACCCAAAACGGAATTTCGAAAAAAAAACTGTTACATATTTCGAATATAAATTTATCTCCAACCAACTACGCTAAAGGACATTACTTACAAAGAAATACACAATGAAATTATATCCTTTGCTTAATTTATTTACTTTAACTTTTCCAATTGACCCGCCAGACATTTTATATCTCACAAATTTGCAATACAACAATGACACCAACAAACGATAAATTTATGCAACCACACACACATATATATACAACCATAAACCATTGACGGTATTCAATATCGAAGAAATCGTATAATTTAATGGTCATAAATTTACAAGATTGCGTGGCAATGTCTTTTGCTATCGACATCGTGACGTCGAACGACAAGGACGAGCAATGCGATAGTCATGGAAGAAGAGAAGGTGAAAAATACCACAGTGCCCGAATCGAATACTTATACATACACAATAAGTAACGATAAAAGTAAATAAATAACATATAAACAATAAATATTGTTGCAAAAGAAAAAAACAAAAAGGAGAATAGCAATGAATTTTTATAGTTCCACATTACAATCTTCTGGAAGGGAATGAATACAGAAAAATATCACGAAATCAAACTTACCTGCCACAACAGTTTCGGAGCGCTGCAAACGCACCAGTACGTGCTCGATAAGGCCAACATCTGTGCAGGCTTGTAAATTGCGTACACTTTTGCGTAAAATTGCAATAAAGACACTCCATATTTCAGCCTGCAAAGAAAAAGAAGAGGAAAAGGGAAATGGAATTTGTTAAGTTGGACTCGTAAAGGAAATATATAAATTTTATTATCAAATAAATTGTTGGCTAAGGAAATGAAAAATAAATAAAAATGACATTTTCGGAACGGGGTCGCAGGTGATGTATTATGGACATTTCCAATGTTTTGGAGGTCACGGTAATTTCTCTTTTGTGTATAGAGGAGATACCGGAGATCTTGTGGAAATAGAGGTAGGAATATCTGCTGCGTAAACAGGGCCTTAGAAGGCTTTTCGTGCAGAGAATCCTACAAGAGGATATTTTTATTAATAATTAATACTTTCAGAAATTAAAGGACTTTAAGGGTCCTCTAACAGTTTCTTTTCACTTTTTTTTAATTCAAAAGCCTTTTTGTAATTTTCCCAATACTACCTTTTAAATTTTTATTTTTTATTCCTCAGCCATATTGCTAGAGAAGGTATATCATTTGATACGGCCAAAGCGTGCCTCATTGAAAAAAAGATTTAAGGTCTCATTTGGGGCCAAATCCGTTTCAAGACATTGGGAGTCGATGTAGCGATGTCCGTCCGTCCGAAGGGAGCTCCGATTTGATCCAAATTTGGAACATCGTAATATTATTGTCAAACTTAGATCTAGTTCGGAGATGGGCAATATCGGCAATATCACTCCTTCTGGTACCTTCCTAACAAAATGTCAACAAGAAAGAGAAAGAATAATCCGATTTTGTTCCGACTTTGCAAATCCTAATATTTACATCAATGCTAGGTCAGGTGCAAAAATGGACAAAATCGGCGAACTCTACCAAGTACCTCCCCCCCAAAAAAGGCCAAAATTTTGAATAATTACAACTCTTAAAAAATGTGATGTAAGAGTCCGATTATCTTCAAATTTCACACATCCCAATAATTTTATTAACCCATGGTCTGGTGCCAAGATGGAATACATCGGTCCACTCCTTCCGGCACCTCCCTCACAATAGGTCTAAAATTTTGAACTACCAAAGCGATCATAATGTCCGAAATAAGCATCAGATTGTCTTAAATCACAAGATTTTTATTAAATTAACGTCAGGTGTGAAGATGGGATATATCGGTAAGGTCGGTCTACTCCTACAGGTACCTCCCCCACAAAGGGGCAAAGCTTTGAATAACCAAAACGATTTTAAAAGCCGAAATAAGCATCAGGTTCTCTTAAAATTATAAACATCACATTATTTTTTTTAACCCAAGGTCTGGTGTGAATGTATGATATATCGGACCGCTCCTTCTGGTGCCTCCCCTTAAAAGGGTCAGAATTTTGAGTATCCATGAGGCTCATGAAAAACGAAATTAACATCCGATTCCATTCAGACTTGACACATCTCAATATTTCTTTCAACATAAGATTTATTATAAAGATGATAGAGATCCAACCATTCCTTCTGGTACCTCCCCCACAAAGGGTCAAAGTTTTGAAAAACTAAAACGATCATAAAATCCGAAATAAGCATCCCATACTCTTCATATTTCATACATCCCAATAGTTCTACTAACACAAGATCTGTTCAGAAAATGGGACATATCGGTCCACTCTGTTCTGTTACCTTCACCACAAGGGGTCAAATTTTTGACTATCCATGAAGCTCATAAAACCTAAAAATTAAAATCCTATTCCATTCAGACTTGCTACATCTCAATATTTCCATCAATACAAGATCTGTTGTAAAAATAGTAGAGATCGGATAATTTCTTCTGGTACCTGCCCTACATAGGGTTCAAGATTTTGGAAAAAAAAAAAACAAACAAAAACAATATACATCTGCAAACCGCTTCTGGTACCTCACCCAGAAAGGGTCACAGTTTTTAATACATTTATCTGTCATTACTTGCGAAACGAGTCAGCGATTCTTCACAACTTGCTATATCTAAATAATTCGCTCAACCAGAAACCCAAGATGAACATGGAATTTATGGGTTCGCATAAAATGGGGTATAAATGTTCGATTTTCTTAGGAAAATGTCAAGTAGGAAAATGGAATACTTAGGTCGACTATATCTGGTACCTCACGCACATTTTATAAAATATATCACATTTCTCATATAAAGTGAAGAAAGTAGTCGATATAGTTAAAACCTGGAACGTAGCAATATTATATAATCCCTACTTAGGTCCCATACGAAATGTACAATCTTGGCCCATTCCATTTGGAACGTACTCCAAGGAGGGTAAACATTTTGTACAATCATAACAGAAGTCAAAATATGTATATTTAAATCATCGAACATTGGCTGAGGGTATACATCGACTGATACTTTTTAAATCGACTGATACTTTTTAACTCTTTTTTTTTTTTTTTGCTTAACATCGAATGCATTATTAAATTCTTCGAAGTCTTTCATATTTTCCCAAAAATCTAAATATAATATCTAAATTCAAATACCACACCTAGCAAATTTTTATAATTTGGTATACATTTTATAAATTTATACCAACCGGGGGCATGGATGACAAATGGAAGAAATAGAGTAGCTCACAAATTGGTTTCGCATTAATAGCATTAAAGTTGAACTTGTCACTGGCAATGAAAATGTCAACTTAAAAATATAACTCCGTTTCGCATTTAAATAATTTTCCATATTAAATTTATTTTGCCCTCGTCAATGCTATTCACTTCTTCTTGATTTCTTGCCATGTGAAAAACTCTGCAGGTTTTTTCGGTTGTGTGGGTTGTGCCTGACGCCGGAGTGCGTGCAGACGACACCAACAAATGAAATGGTACAACGTCGTCAAACCAAACAGAGAAGCAACTGCAGAAGATGTGGTTAAGTGTTATGGAAAGCTTGAAAAATGAAAAATTAATGTGAGCCATTTACTTTGGCATACTTAAGTGAGCTGTAGGGAAAATGAGGGAGTGAGAGAATAAGGGAGGGAGAGAAAAATGGGCCGATGCCCTGAGGGTGTGGTAGAAAAAATGGAAAAATAAATTTGCGGTTTCCTGGCAGAAAAGCCACACCATATTACTTTGGTTTATGCTTTAAAGGGGTTAATGGAACAAAACATTCCCTCAACATTCCCTCTTAAAGGGGATGTCCACATGTAATTAATAATTTCTAGGAAATTGCTAGTTAAATTGGTATATAATTTCTGGGATGGCATATAAATTAATGGTAACCTTTTAATCCTCGCTAAATAGGGATATTGGTCAAGAAAAGGAAAATAGGTTTAAAATTCGTATAAAAGGATGAGAAGAATTATCAAAGACAAATACACAAAGGGTTTTTTTCTGTAGAAAAAATACGGTTCTGTGCAAGGCTTCAAAAAAAAAAAAAAAAAAAAAAAAAAAATCGGGCCTCAGTCATTGAGGCTATATTTTTCCTTAAAAACGGACATCAGTCCTTGAGCCTTTTTTTTCAGAGAAACAAAAATTGGGGCTATTATTTTCTAGTTATTATTTTCTATAGAAAAAAAAAAAGACTTAAGTCATTGAGGCTATTTTTTTTTTCTATAACATATTCGGGCTCAATCATTGAGGTTTTTTTTTCATAGAAAAAAATCGGGCCTCAGTCATCCAGACTATTTTTATCTATAGAAGAAAAAAACGGGGTTCTGTCATTCAGGCTATTTTTTTTCTATAGAAAAAAATCGGAGCCCCTGTCATTGAGGCTATTTTTTTTTTCTATAGAAAAAAAATCGGGGCCTCAGTCATTGAGGCCTCAAATAGCCTCAAAAGCTGAGGCCCGATTTTTTTCTATAGAAAAAAATAGCCTCAAAAGCTGAGGCCTATTTTTTTCTATAGAAAAAATTAGCCTCAAAAGCTGAGGCCCGATTTTTTTCTATAGAAAAAATTAGCCTCAAAAGCTGAGGCCCGATTTTTTTCTATAGAAAAAATTAGCCTCAAAAGCTGAGGCCCGATTTTTTTCTATAGAAAAAATTAGCCTCAAAAGCTGAGGCCCGATTTTTTTCTATAGAAAAAATTAGCCTCAAAAGCTGAGGCCCGATTTTTTTCTATAGAAAAAATTAGCCTCAAAAGCTGAGGCCCGATTTTTTTCTATAGAAAAAATTAGCCTCAAAAGCTGAGGCCCGATTTTTTTCTATAGAAAAAATTAGCCTCAAAAGCTGAGGCCCGATTTTTTTCTATAGAAAAAATTAGCCTCAAAAGCTGAGGCCCGATTTTATTCTATAGAAAAAATTAGCCTCAAAAGCTGAGGCCCGATTTTTTTCTATAGAAAAAATTAGCCTCAAAAGCTGAGGCCCGATTTTTTTCTATAGAAAAAATTAGCCTCAAAAGCTGAGGCCCGATTTTTTTCTATAGAAAAAATTAGCCTCAAAAGCTGAGGCCCGATTTTTTTCTATAGAAAAAATTAGCCTCAAAAGCTGAGGCCCGATTTTTTTCTATAGAAAAAATTAGCCTCAAATGCTGAGGCCCGATTTTTTTCTATAGAAAAAATTAGCCTCAAAATCTGAGGCCCGATTTTTTTCTATAGAAAAAATTAGCCTCAAAAGCTGAGGCCCGATTTTTTTTCTATAGAAAAAAATTGCCTCAAAAGCTGAGGCCCGATTTTTTTCTATAGAAAAAATAGCCTCAAAAGCTGAGGCCCGATTTTTTTCTATAGAAAAAAATAGCCTCAAAAGCTGAGGCCCGATTTTTTTCTATAGAAAAAAATAGCCTCAAAAGCTGAGACCCGATTTTTTTCTATAGAAAAAAATAGCCTCAAAAGCTGAGATCCGATTTTTTTCTATAGAAAAAAATAGCCTCAAAAGCTGAGACCCGATTTTTTTCTATAGAAAAAATTAGCCTCAAAAGCTGAGGCCCGATTTTTTTCTATAGAAAAAATTAGCCTCAAAAGCTGAGGCTCGATTTTTTTCTATAGAAAAAATTAGCCTCAAAAGCTGAGGCCCGATTTTTTTCTATAGAAAAAAAAATAGCCTGTTTTTTTTTTTTCTATAATAAAAAAACGGGGCCTCTGTCACTGAGGCTATTTTTTCTATAGAAAAAAAATCGGGCCTAGGTCTT